CTGGGAAATTGTTAAGACAAAGCTGTAACTGTAAGCGTTTTTGAAATTGTTAACATTATCTCCCCCGAATAGAAAACCTCCTTACAAAAACAAAACAAAACAAAACTAAACTAAATCTGTTACTTCTGAGACATAAAACTCTTGTATGACACATAATAGTAATATGATACATCGCACCATGATAATGATGTCAGTAATGTTTACGAAACGCGTTGAGGAAGATCATGAGTCCTATAATGTACCAGCAAAATGAATCATCAAAGACAGCCCTTTTAAAAACAAATCAAGCACTAAGGAAACACAACTTTGCTTTATGTAACAACGGAGTCACGCGTATCTGTTCTATAACAACGAATTACTCATCACAGACACTATAACTCTTTAAAATAGATCAAACATAAAGGCAATATACTTTTGCTTTATATAACAACGCAGACAAATATCATCTTTCTCCCGATTTCTAGTTATTTAAACGACAAAATGTAAGAACCCACTTGTTTCGTATCCCCAACATGGCAAGATTTTTTATTTAATTAAACTAAAAGTCAATTTATTTTCGGGACATTTTCCTATTTATTTAAGTCATGAAGTTCACTTAGTTAAGTAAACGCATACTTTTTTTTACAGCATATTCATTACAAAACAAAAACAATGACAATGACAATTGTGTTACCACCGTTTTCTCTTATTTCGCTGCGTTTTACGTCCCCATGGATACAAATTAGGTACTAAAAAAGTGCGGGCTTCGACCGTGCCCGTAAGAATCAACACGCACTGAACTGAAATGGATTCAGTGCCCTAGCAGAAAGACTGAGATAGATGCTCAATACAAATTCACCTTACATTGGAATCAACTCTGGTCTTTTGAGAGCCATAACGAAGAACCTTATACGGGATGCCTACTACGGATGGGATCAGCGGATCGAGCCGATCGCCCAACTCGGTCGCCTTACGGGGTGCCCACTACGGCTGGATCGGGCCGATCGTCCGACTCGATCGCCTGAAACTGAAAACAAACACGTTTGTTTTTGAGGCGATCGAGTCGGGCTATCGGCCCGATCAGCCGATCCCGTCCGTAGTGGGCACCCCGTTTAAAAAACAAACGTGTTTGTTTTCAGTTTCAGGCGACCGAGTCGAGTGATCGGCCCGATCCTACTGTAATGGGCACCCCGTATAAGATCTACCCCACAGACTCCTGAGCTGTGACTGTAACGACATTAATTTAACATCTTCCAAATCTCCTTGGCGACTTCTTCTTTTGGAAGCGTTACCTCCCTGAAAGGAGTTCGGGCTCGCTGCTAGCTCAACTGGCATCGTGCTTGTCTATTGCGTGGATGGCCCTGGTTCGAATCCCCAATCGATAGTTCTGAACCTGGGTTCTTTTGGAGAGTTTTGAAGGTTCTCCATCCATTTATTTAGCTCATTTATGTAGGAGATGGACATTACAGTAATGTGGAGGTCCAGCCTCTTAAATAAAATCACAGTTGTCAAAGTGGAGTTAAACCTATATAGTTTCAATTTCTTTAATAATAATCATAATCATTATCATAATCATAACCATAATCATGATTTATAATAAAATAATAATAAAAATATACATCTAATTCAATTTTTTTTAAATAATCAAAAATATCATTTGTATAGCGCACATCACCGCTTAACAGCAAGCTCTATGCGCTGTACAGTTTATACTAAATTATGATTAATTATTTATAAACGACAGCTTACACACGAATACTTACAGCTTACTTTCGCCAAGGCTTATAATAGCCTTCAAAACCCAGCGATGCATTCGTCCAATAAACAGTGAATTTGGAAGAGATGAAATTTCAACAAAGATTCATTGTATGACATTTGAGCAGGTATACGATACACCTTAAGAAAGGAAATATCCCCCTTTTTCTCTCCCCCTCTCTTTTTTTCTCTCTCTCTCTCTCTCTTTCTCTCTGTCATTCTCTATATCTTTCTTTTGCTCTCTCTCCCTCACGCACTCACGCACTCACGCACACACACACACACAGACACATATACACACACACACAAACACACACATATACACACAGACACACACACATACATACACATACACACTCTCTCTCTCTCTTTCTCTCTCTCTCTCTCTTTCTCTCTCTCTCTCTCTCTCTCTCTCATACACACACACACACACACACACACACACACACACACACACACACACACACATACATACATAAACGTATATACACATGTACGCTTTCCAATATTTTCGCACACCAACACAACACGTTTGAATAAATACACACAACCTCACACATAATGGCACAGCCAAATGTAGTGGAACTGAAAACAACAGAACTTTGTTATGATGCAGTAAGTACTGTCGTAATATTATGAATATAAAAACAGAGACAGAGACTGTGAGATCGTATGTAGACATTGGGTCATCATTGAAAGACATACTTTAAGTACTACCTGTCGTTTATATACACAGTAAAACATTATTCTTACATTGAGTCTGCTCTTCGGTCGCATAGAAAAGTGTGCTATATTAACAAAACATCATTATTGTTTCTTAAGGAAAGACTGACTGTTCACATAATGAATACCTCAAATTCCATATACATGTAGTACATGTATTATGGCTCTCGCTTTTTATTCCCTATCTGTCTCACTACAAAACGCATTTAGACTTGTTTAAAATAACTAAGTGATCGTAATGAAAAAATATCCTTTTACACTCGCATAAAATCTGCAATGATACTATGGGCAAAATAGGAACCAGCTATAGCTATAAACTAAATTTAAATTCAGTAATAATTAGTTCTTTGAGCGTTCCATGATGATTAGTACCTATAGGAAGCAATGTTTGTTGCTCAAATGCTCAATCTGTAGTCAACAATTTTTTAGCAAAACATGTATGTTAGTAAAGACCGATATTTTATCTTGAATCTGATTATGGTGTCAGTCAAATCGAACGTCTGATCGGGAGTCGAATCGGGTTTTTACGCTACAATCTTAATACAAAACTCCTCTCGACAGACAATTCTAAACTAAATCAATCATGCAATAAATCGTGTTATACATATGGTAAAAACATAATATTATATTGAAACAGAACAATAAGTCAATGACTATCATGAGATAAACAAGATAGTGCAAATGACCTCAAAATGTTAGTAAATGTGTATGTACAAACGTCAACGATCACAGATTTGTCTCTTAAAATGAGCGTTTTTTGTCACGATTACAGTTGCAGCGGCTACTGTTTAAGCACAGCTTTCAATAATATAAATAATAATACAAGGTAGCGCGAAAGTCGCGACACCATTTTAAACATTATTTTCTTCTTTTTAATATAGTGAAAATAGTTTCATGATTTTACTTTTAAATGTTAGCAGTTCGACCTAGAAGATTTGGTTGACATTCAAAGCCAACTTTCCAGACAAATTATCAAACCATTTTTTGCAATATAATTGAACGCAACAATTTATGGTTTCCTTCGGATTTTCCCTTGTCTCTGATTTGTCACAGAAAAGAAAGAGTTCAGCAGGGTACAGTGCCAAATAATTGTTACATTTTATTGTGAAACTTAAATATCCATTGTTCTAACCGAGAGAGCCTATTTGTGTCGTTAAGGGGAAATGTATCCCCCCATCCCCCCCCCCACCCTCATCGCCAACCCCATCCCCACCCCAAAAAAACAAAAACTAAACAAAAAACTCCACGATAATCCATTGAATGCACTGCTTTAGGAACTGGGGACTGTGGTCGATACGCCACGAAATGGGAGCTCACGCTTTATGCGAACCCTGATAATGGCGAAAATGTCCGTGCTGATGGGGAAGTACTGAAGAAAGCATTCACCTCGAGCCCACGCCGGCCTAGTAGCTTGACCTCTCTAGAAGGTCATTTTACTGGCCAGCCAATTTACCTCATTTTAATGCACCTACGTCGGTTCTTTTGGGATTATCCATTGGCAATTAACAAAGAGGGAAATAATGACTGAAATTCGTGCGCAGTGCCAAAATGATCTTATGATTGTGAAGGTAAAATGCGTTAAAGAAGGTACAATGTGTGAGGCCGAATGTGGAAGTCATTTACGAGATATGATATTTCATGATTAATGCCTTTAAGATCCGCATTGATTAATTTGGGCGAATACGTCAGCACTTTAAAAAAAATGTATAATTAGTTGATCAATCTGCTATTGGTATCGCGACTTTTGTGTCACCCCCGCAATTACAAGTACTTTTATACAAAGACAGCCAGTTAACGATACAAATATGATCAGCCGTTTGTTGTTTTCACCACATTTATGTTGTCAACATCTCAATTTTCCATGTTTTCAATACTATGTACAGTTAAATTATATAGACCAGAATATCTGGCCCAAAAGTCAGCAAAATGACCATGAAACAATTTACGAAGTTACAGAAGTAGGATTCGCAATAGTTGAATGATACTGTTATCATCAGACATTGCTCTTTTTGTCTTTCTGGGTCTCTAATATTTCTTTCTCACTGCTAGTTTATCTGTCATTATGTCGTGGAGTGTTCCCTAAAAGTATGTACATATTATGTCATCAATCAAATGGATTCTTTCCATCCAAGCCAGTCATTTAGCCCTTCCTAGCTCACAAAACTCAAATGTAGAACACAGTATACAACAAACTATTCAAAAACAAGTCGTTGCTTTTATCTCCAACTATTTTTCACTTTGAATTATTCCCCTTTCTAACTTTGGGTATATATCTACCAATCATTTGCACAACCGTTTTAATTTAAATGTACACTTCAATCAGCTTCTATAATTTTCTCCAACCTCAGATCAAATGCCATCTACCTTATGTGTCTTACAAGCCAAAACACACATACACCCACACACACAATCACATACACACACACTCACACACACACACACACACACACACACACACACACAAGCCAACACACAAACGCACACACAGACTTTTGTATTCCCCAATGTCCAGATTTACTCCCCCCCCTCTCTCTCTTTCTCTCTCTCTCTCTCTCTCTCTCTCTCTCTCTCTCTCTCTCTCTCTCTCTACGTTGTTCTATTTTTCTCCATTTCTCTCACAGTATTAAACTTCTACAAAATGCACAGTATAGACCCCCCCTCCCCTCCTTTATTTTCCCAACGACTCATCATATTCTTTTGTGGTGAACATTTGCAATGAACTTTTGTCACCCACCCATCTCTTTGTTTCTTGCTCTCAGGGTTTCTGAAACCTTCAGAAGTCAACACGATTAAACACTGTCAGATTTTATCCCGTTACTTTGTGAATGTCCGTTCACAAACGCCTTTTCTATATCCTTTTGCAAAACTTCTTTTGATTTCTTCTTGAGAAACTTGAGTCGAGGACAGCAAATGAGCAGTAGTTTCATGTACACTTTTCTGAAATCCCTCATTAACAGCGGGTAGATGATGGGGTTAATCAGACTGTTACAGTAGCCCAGCCACACAAAAGCAGTGAAAAGTTTGGGGGGCACGCATGTGCAAGCAGCGTCTACTATGTTCGTAATCAAGAATGGGGTCCAGGTGACCACATAAGCTCCGACGATAACCCCTAAGGTCACAGTCGCTTTCCTGGTGAAGGGTTCTCTCACAGACTTGGAGGACACGTCCTGCCCCAAAAGAACACGACTCGGTGCGATCAGAGTTCGCACAAACAAAGCTTGTCTTCTGGCCTCTTCCGACACTTTGAAATAGAGCACAAGTGCAATGATGATAGGGAGCATGATCGTTATGGTACCCGCGAGAAGCGCGTAGGGTAAGCTCACGATCAAAAGACACTGCGCCTCGCTGGTGAACATCGTAAGATTGACCAAGCTGGGAACGTCTGGGTTGTGCCAACCGTTTGTGATTGGCACAAATGAACTGAGAATGGCTACGATCCAGAGCACGGCCAGAAGAAGGAGAGCTCTGCGGAAGGTCATCAGAGCTTTGTAGCGGAGCGGGGAGATGATGGCGAGGTAGCGGTCAAAGCTGATGGCACACACGTTGAGGACGGACGCGCTGCACAGCATCACGTCAAAGGAAGCCCAGATGGAGCAGAAGCCTTGAGCCAGCACCCAGTGGCCGTACACCTGAGAGAGACACGAATAAAGTCGTATTAAAAACAGTAATAATACACATAATATAGAGCTACAAGTTGCAGTATGAGCAGTTTCCATTGGGTTGGGGGTTTTTTTTGGTCGTTGTCTGTTTTTTCTTGAGAATAGGGTGGGGTGGGATGGAACTGGTTAGTTCTACCTTGTTTTGTTCCCATTAGTTGTATAGATTATAAAGTGCATACATCTTGAAGTAGAACGGTAACTTACGGTGTACACATGTTATACAAATCAGAACTATAAGTAGCTGCAGCAGCTTCAATGGATTGGTTTAGCACGTGAGGCAATGGTTGCTGCTTTGTTTCGTTCCATTGGTTGTATACACTGTGTGATGATATATTATGTTAACGGTAGAAAACATGGGTTTAAAATCGCTGTAACATTTTTGGAAAGATTGCCCTTTGTATAAAGTGGCCTGTCTTTTGTTTGTTTGGTTTCGTGCCGCCTACCTGAAAGTATATTTAGAACAGAGCATTAAATAAAACCTGTCTTTCTCCAGATTACCCACCAGAGGAGCTTTGTGGAGAGGGGGGGGGGGGCAGCTTTTTTCTGATTAACAACTTTGATTAACAGATCTGTCCGAAAGAGAGCTGGAGAGAAAAGTTCGAACTGGAAAAGACGGCTCTCCTGTAATAAGAGACAACTTAAGGCCAGCTAATTACAAAAATATATTAAAAGAATGGCCCAGTGTGTTGGAATCTCATGTCATCTTAAACCACGACAACGCACCTATCCACAAATCCAGAATTATCCCTGAACTTCTCTAGAGCTTTTGTGGGATTTACTGGGGCACGCTGCCTATCCAGCAGATTGAAGTGATTTTGTTCTTTCGTGTCTCCAAAACAAAAAGAAGTGCTTCGTGCATAGAGATTTTAGGACGTACATGAGATTCAAAAGGCGGCCAATAAAGCATGCAAAAAGGGCCTTGGATAATGGAACATTGCTTCATTTTTCAAACGCCGAGTGCACCTCACAGGAAAAGGTGTATGATTTAATTTAGTGGGTTTTTTTAACAGGTAACGCGATTATTTTTATTCTTCATAAAAAACTAAAACCGAACTGACAACTATTTCCTTCGTGAGCAGTAAAATGCAGGGAAGTCTATTTATGAGTCACACTGGGTAACAGCACCCCAAACCACCTATGTTGCTCTTTTTACTTGTTGAACAACAAATTAGTTACAGCCAGCTTGCAATTACGAGGTGCTGTGTCATATTTAAACGTAGCAGCCTGAGGTAGTTATGCTTTTACGCTCCCCAAGTCAGTACACCTGAACTTGTGAGCAACACATGTAAATGTACAGCGTCATGGAAACAATACTCCCACCCCATCATCTAAAAAGAATAAAGACTATTTTGTTTTTAATAAATCAAAAAAAAAGAAAGATTAA